TTTTATTTTATTTTTAGTGCTTGGTTGAGAAATGAAGATTCATCAGTTGTTTCTCGTTTATCTCGATTAATTGAAGCTGTAACAAATTTAAGTATGAGAACAGCTGAAGATCTTCAGGTATGTGAATAATTAGAGAATATCAAAATAAAATTAAGTATAAAATAATTAGATTGCAAATTATGGTGTTGGTGGTCATTATGAACCACATTATGATTTTGCACGAGTAAGTTATGACTATTTATTTATTTAATTTAGTAAAAAATAAATAAATTTAGAAATCAGAGAAAGATGCGTTCTTAGGTCTTGGCGCCGGTAAGTTGAAATTCTGTAGGAGAAATTAGATCATAACTTTTGTTTTCTAGGAAATCGTATTGCTACATGGTTAACTTATGTAAGTTAATTGCATATTATTAGAAATCTGTTATAATAATAATAAATGTTTCTAGTTGAGTGATGTCGAACAAGGTGGTGCAACAGTTTTTCCTGTCGTTGGCGGTCATTTGAAACCAAAAAAAGGAAGTGCTGCATTTTGGTATAATCTTTATGCATCGGGTGAAGGTTAGATAATCACTTAATTTTATTTTTTCTGATATATATATATAATCAATAATTTCTATCTTTTCAGGAGATTACAATACTCGTCATGCAGGTATTTTTTTAATTTTCTTTCTTCATGTATTTATTTTCTTCTATTAGCTTGTCCTGTATTAATTGGAAACAAATGGGTTGCAAATAAATGGATTCATGAACGTGGTCAAGAATTTCGTCGTCCATGTTTACTAGATCCAATGGCATAAGTAAATCATCTATTAGTACAAAATTGACAATTAGGATTTGCAAATCTCGGTGTATATTTAAGTTAAAATCAAATCGATGATATCAGCAATCCAAATGTCACAGGGAAAATTCAGGTTGACCAATTATGTTTTTTGTCATAGTGAATATTAGGATTTAGTTTCCTTAGTGTGAAGCATTTATAATGGTAGAACGAGAAATGTGTGTTTTTCTTATTTCTATTAATTTTTTGTTTATTTGAATAAATGAATTTTTTACTTTTATCAATTGACATAGATTCGTTTATATCAGACATATGCATAAATGTTTATATAATTATTATCCATTGAGTAAACTAATATAATAGTAGTTGAATGCTAAAGACTGTTATGTTTATTGTAAGATTAATGTCATTATGATCATTAAGAGTTGATCTTATTAATAGACAAAAAATATGTCTGGTATCCTAAATAAGCTTGAAGAATATCATAATCAAATGAAAACAGAGAGTATGTATATTGACTGATTTTATACAGCAAAATTAAATATATATGAAAAACATTTCTAATATAAATTAAGAGGATATATTTCATATAGACATATTCATAACTTTTATATCTTTTTTAATCTTGACTTGATCGTATTGTACAAAGTCAATGGTTAGAATATAGATATTTTTTCATCGTATATATAAAACAATATAGTTTGCGAAGATTTTAAAATAAATTAGAAAAATGGAAAATGTCGATTCTGTATCAGATACATATTCTTACATTTTCTCAATGTAACTTACATTGGAAAAAAGATCTCAAACACAGTTGTATCAATTGAAAAACATACTTGATCGTTTCCAACTTTGATTATCTTTACAATAATAATATATAATCAAAGTTTAGTAACAGAAAAAAAATGGCAGATAAAATTGACTGAACAATTCCATACGGTACTTACATAATGTCCTATGCTAAAATATTTTAGTATCATAAAAATATTGAGAAATCTTATGAATACAAATAAACTCATTATTTTATGAAAACGATTTTTTTATAAACAATAATGACGCACATATGCAATAATTATTGCGTAAAAAGTAATACTTGTCTGCACTCTACAATGACGTCCACAGAATTATATTTAACTATGATTAGAATATATGTTTGCAACACTTATTTAATGTATGAAGATACTTTTGATTGTCGTTTTGAATGACGTCCAAAAGGTTATTCTTATCGATGTCATAATAATGATGTGCGCATAACAATCAATGTCTGTGTATTATAATTCTGTTTCTCTTTCGATGATGTAATAAGCTGTGTTTTTTTCGATTGTCTTTTTGTGGTTATAAATAAACCAAGCAACTTTCTTCAGTTCGTTAAGTGCGTAATTTTATATATTGGACTTGCACCTTCTCTCTCACAACCGATGTATATATACAAGAGAGAATATCATTCAAAAATATTAACAAAATATATGTGTAGTTATTCGTCTGTCGATTTGCATTTCTGTTACAATGAACACTTTCAACCTGATGAATATGAAGACAGTTGTTTATGTCACTCTTTTGGTGGCATTCATGCAAATATGCTGTAGTATGGTATCGGCTCAAAACAATAGTATAACTACCACAACTGCTGGAACTACCACAGCTACGAGAACTATAATGACCACTGCTCGAAATAATAGTACAACTACCACAGTTGCTGGAGCTACTACGACTACTGCTGGAAATAGTGGTACAACAACTACAACTGCTGGAAATAATGGTACAATAACTACAACTGCTGGAACTACTACGACCACTGCTGGAAATAATGGTACAACCACTACAGCTACG